TGTATATATGTATATGTGCATATATACGTATATATATGTATATGTATGTATATATGTATATGTGCATATATACGTATATATATGTATATATACGTATATACGTGTGTGTATATATATATATATATTTTTTTTGGTTCTAGTCATGGGGCCTGAACTCTGGGCCTGGGCGCTGTCCCTCAGCTCTTCAGCTCAAGGCTAGCGCTCTACCACTTGAGCCACAGCGCCACTTCGGGCTTTTTTCTTTTTGCTTATGTGGTGCTGATGAATCGAACCCAGGACCTCATGCATGCAAGGTAAGCACTCTACCACTGAGCCACCTTCCCGGCCCCTCCAATTTTTTTTAATAGTAGCAGAATCAACAAGTCTCAGAGAAGTCATCAAAATTATCAAGCTCAAAACCCCTGTCCCCAAAGCCAAAGTAGATAAGGAACAATATCGATTCTAGGCTGATAATACAATTTATAGTTCCGAAATTAAGTGTAAGAAGCGGAAAAATTAAACAGAAGCACAGTATACATAATGAGATTTAACATGAGTTTGATTCTACAGCTGTTCCATCTATTAACATGTGCTGAAGATGTTCATACTTATTTTCCCATTGATACGTCACTAAATGACTACCCAGTATGATTACATTAAGGGTGTTCCTGTTCTGAGTCTGGCTAACATTGCTATAATTAGTACAGGACTCACGAGATACTCTCCATTCTTTTGGACAAAACGTACGTATTTATAGACTACTACAGGTTAAATGACTAAAAAAACCCTGCATAAAGAAATGCAGAGTGAGGGTATAATGACTGTACTCAAAGTATATATTGTATACATACATGAAAAGGTCACAACGAAATCTATCATTTTATACAATTAAGAATGTTCTGAGACCATATACTTGCCTATGTCAGTCTTTAAAACAAATTACAGAACAGTTTTTAAACTGACACACACAAGGATAATAAGATATTACACATTCTCAGATTATACCAGATAATGCAAAACCAAACACAATTTAGATTTCCAAGTAAATTAATACATATCTATGTATAGAATTAAGCTCCCCTCAGTTTGGCTTCAGCCCTGGGGACTTCTACATTAAAATTAATTCAGAAACATGTACATTAAAACCATAACCACAAAAAATTCTAACACGTAAATATCATGTCACAAAATCCCTTACAGTGATGGTAATATAATATCTATAATTAATTCAAAATGTCTGTATCAAGGCAATGTTTTTCACTGAGTGCTGATAACTCATGACTGTGATCCTACATCAGGAGAAAGCTAATATTCAAAACCAGCTCTGGCAGAAAAGCCCAAAAGACTCTATCTTCAGTAAACCAACCAAATGGCTAGACTGCTGGCGAGGCGCAAGTGGTAGACTGTCAGCCGTGAGCAAGAACTCAAGGCACTGGCTCCTCCATATAAGAAAATACTTTGTTTTCAAGAAAGAAAACATTTTTTGGGGGGTGAGGGGGTCCCGCTCGTGGGGCCTGAACTCTGGGCCTGGGCGCTGGCCCTCAGCTCTTCAGCTTAAGGCTAGCACTCTACCACTTGAGCCACAGTGCCACTTCCGGCTTTAAGAAAACATTTTAAAAGACCTGTAACTACTTAATCTAGAAAACCAGTGACTGTACCTGGTCCATATTTGCATACTTCAAGTTGAGTATAACTGGTTGAAAAAAGAACATAAAAAGACCCAGACATTGGCAGGAAAAAACTTCTTCACGCTTGCCTTAGGGTCACAGTTCACGGTCATGTTTATGGGTAAAGATAAACATGATTTTAAAAAAGCTTGCATCTTAAAAATACTCAAACACCATCTAGACATGTAAGTTAACCTTCCTGAGAGGATAATCTACAATAATCTATGTCCCCTCTGAGAAGACCAAACAGCCTGGTAGATTTAATGCTACATGGCATAAATAATAAGAAAGGGCTGCAACATGGAAAATGTCTTAGGATGCTTAAGTCATTAATGTCTCTTCATAAGGTATGCAGCTAGCAGCTGTTGTATGACAAGCTCATCCAGAGATATAAGGTTGGAGAGAAAGCACTTTCGGGAAATTATGTGGTGTCTCAGAAGCATGGAGCTCAGATTGCTCTGTCTCTTTGGATGATCCTTGAATAAAAACTATACATAATAGCTGGGGCTAGCGGCTCATACTTGTAACCCTCAGAAGGCTGAGATCTGAGTTCAAAGCCAGCCCAGACAGGGAAGTCTATGAGACTTAACCACCAAAAAGCTGGAATTGGAACTGTAGGTGAAGTGGCAGAGTGCCAGCTTCAAACAAAGCAGCCCAATCTCTGAGTTCAAATCCCAGGATCAGCACAGACACACAAAACTATACATACTATACTAAAGCCAGAAAATGTTGTTTCTGCCCAAAACTTGAGCTTCTGTACTCCAAATTCCAGGTGTTTTCTGAAGAACTATTCTTATAAAAGTTCTGATGGACTATTCTTAGTAAGTTCTGATGAACTACTCTTAGTAAGTTCTGAGGGCCAAGCTTTCAAGGAAGCTAGGAGGAAGATGCCAGGGTTCTGTCCATGGGCATGGAAAGACAACTCTGGTATAGCGCTTCATCTTAGGGGCAAGACTCAAAGTGACCTTAACACCCTGGCAATTCATGGATGTTGGCAGTGCAAATGCCAACCGCGACACAAAGAAAGCTTAAGGACGAGACTGTAAGCCTATCTAATACTGCAGGTTTCCTCAGGGAAGCCTGGACCACATCTATAAAGCTAAGTTTGTATAGCAAATTATACTTCTCACCAGCTTCACTGCCCTCTCATCATATGCCCTGTACCATCATCAACATCAACTGACCTCTGCCAGGACTCCCTCTGAACACCATCATTAATGTCAGTGTTGACACTGTGACCTTGACAGGGCGATGATCACATGTCCAATATATTCCACAGAAATTTCTTGAAAAATGTTTTTTCCTCAATCACTGGAAATACTCCACAATCTTCCAATTTCCCTTAGGTGTAATTCTGAATCTGTACCCTGACCTGAAGGCCTTAGGATCTGCTGCCTGCAAGGTATCCTCTCACTCTTCTCTCATCACCCATCCAGCCTGGTTCCTGTTTGTCAGATAAATAAGAATTGCTAAGAGCCACCTAAAGTTACCACCGGCCTCCCTAGCTCTGCGGTGGCATCTCTCCTGAAAGCTGTGTGTCTTGGGCTCTCAGGGACATCTGAGAAGGCTGTTTAGAGTACCTGGGCAGCATCAAGCATCCTCTATCTGTGGGAAGTCGCATTGAAGGAGAACTTCTTTCTCACCTGAGGCAACCACAGTGCTAGCCCACAATGTGTTTTCTATGCTGAGACTTTCATGAATGGGAGGGTCACTGTCTTCCTGTTCAGGGAAGAAAAAAAAATTAGAAAATTAACAATTTTATAACTATTTGTTTTGTTTAAATCTCTGGAGTCCTAAGAAGAAATGTGTCCACGTTCTAGATATAACAATTCAAGCAGTAAAAGGTTACTGCAAATGTGAGTTTTAAGAGGAAAGAGAAGCTGAGCAGCAGTGGCTCACGTCTGTAATCCTAGCTACTCAGGAGGCTGAGGTCTGAGGATCAAGGTTCAAAGCCAGACTGGCAGGAAGTCTGTGAGATTTGTATCTACAATTAAGCACCAAAAAAGCTTAAAGTGCAGTTGTGTGTGGCTCAAGTGACAAAGCAAAAAGAGTTCAGAGACAATGCCCATGCCCTATGTACCAGCCCCCATAACAGACATGCATACACACAAAACTCACTAAAAGCAGAAGGACCAAAGGCATGTGACTCAAGTGATAAACAGGTAAGTTTAAAATCCAGTATACCAAATAAATAAGGAGAGAGGGGAAAGGGAGAGAGAAATGAAAAGGAACACATTGAGCCAAGCACCGGTGGCTCACATCTGTAATCCTAGCTACTCAGGAGGCTGAGATCTAAGGATCATGGTTCAAAGCTTGCCTGGACAGGGAACTCCGAGAGATTCTTATACCCAATAAACTACTCAGAAAAGCTGGAAATGGCATTGTAGCTCAAGTGGTAGAGTGCTTGCCTTGAACAAAAGAAGCTCAGAGGCAGCATGCAGGCCTGGAGTTCCAGCCCCAGGACCAGGGGGCGGGGAAAAGAAAGCATTTAATTTCACAGCTCAGGGACAGTGCCCAGACCCCAAGTTCAAGCCCTATGACAGAAAAAAAATAAAAATAAAAAAGTAAATTTTCTTTTCTTTTCTTTTTTTTTGGGGGGGTCCAGTCGTGGGACCTCAACTCTGGACCTGGGCGCTGTCCCTCAGCTCTTCAGCTCAAGGCTAGTGCTCTACCACTTGAGCCACATCGCCACTTCCGGCTTTTTTCTTTTTGCTTATGTGGTGCTGAGGAATGGAACCCAGGGCCTCAGGCATGCAAAGTAAGCGCTCTACCACTGAACCACCTTCCCAGCCCGTAAATTTAATTTTCTATTTCCCTTCTCTCCCCTCTTCATGATGGTACTTGGACCTGAACTCTAAGCCTCACTTTCTCCTTCAGCTTTTTGCTCATTGTTCATGTTCTACCACTTGAGCCACCTTTCCACTTTTGGCTTTTTTCTGGTTAATAGGAGATTAAAGTCTCTTATTAGAGTTGTCTGTCCAGGCTGATTCTGAATCAGGGTCTTCAAATTTCAGCCTCTTGGGTAGCTAGGCTTGGGGCATTAGTCTCCTACTTAAATGTTTTTTGATCAAATTTAATTTTCAAAAGTTGTTTGACCCACTGCTTCATCTTATACATCCGAATAGAAACCCAGTGGTTATCAAGCTTCTTGCACCCCAGGAATTGTATTCAGATTGCAAATAGTTTTTCCAGTGCCAAGAAAGAGGGAGTTCCTCGAGGACCTGAATAAATATCAGCCCTTAAGTCTCAGAATGTATGGATATGTAAACTATAACATTATTGTTCAAAATAAAAATAATGACCCTGAGAACATAGACTATTTAGTTTACCTCTGCCTTTGTTACATGATATGTAGGCAGAAGAGTCATTCAGACGTGGATTCAGTATTAGTTACATGATATGTAAACAGAGAAGTCATTCACACATGCATTCAGTATCTTAAGACACACCATGCATAAACAGCACACATCCAAGATCTCAATAGATATCATGACTATGCTAACATGTATTGTACATCTTACCAGACAGCATGCCTACATTAGCATGAGATTTTGTAAAAGTTTTTAAAGTGTTTTTTTGTTTTTTGTGTGTTTTTTTTGTTGTTGTTGGGCTTGGGCTTGAACTCTGGGCTTGGGCCCTGTCTCTGCGCTCTTCAGCTCAAGGCGTACTCTACTGCTTGAGCCACAGCACCACTTCCGGCTTTCTAGTGGTTTATTGGAGATAAGAGTCACGGACTTTGCTGCCCTAGCTGGCTTTGAACCGTGATCCTCAGATCTCAGCCTCCTGAGTAGCTAGGATTATAGGCATGAGCCACCGGTGCCCGGCTTAAGTTTTTTTTGGAGGGAAATACTTTTTCCAAACTCAGGTCCTCACACTGAGCTTTGATCCACCTACTACAGGCTTCCTATCATTGCTGGGCTCACAGGTGCATTCCACTGCAACCAAATGCCCTTTAGTCAAAGTCTCAAAGCCTTTGGCATTTCTCCAGGCCAGCACGGTACTGCCTTCCCTACCCATTCAGTCTCCCACATAGCTTAGGATGACAAGCACATTCACTGTACCCAGATATGTACCGTAAAGGTTTCTGGTGACTTTTCAGTCTGAGATAGCCTGAAATGACAGCTTCTCCCAGTGTTAGCCTTTCAAGTAGCTAGGAATTACAGGCATGAGCCACTGGTACCTAGTAATTTAGTAGTTTTTTTTCATACACTAGTGGAAGATTCATTGTGACATTTCCACACATGATCAAACTAACCCCCTCTGTCACTCTCACTTACCCACTATCCTCTTTCTTAAGACAATGTCAAAGGTTTAATTGTTCTATTTCATACATGCTTAAAGTACTACAGCCATATTCACACTCATCTACCTTGCGACTGATATCACCAGTGTCATCATTTACAACTCTTAAGTTGTCTTTACAAAAAAGTCTGGAAACTTATTCATGTGTATGTAAGTTTTAGTATATAGTATATAGAAGAAGGGCATTTGTTTATAATTTCAAGCTGGCAGCCAGCCCTGGATCATGCCCTGAGGAGGCTGAAAGCTGAGGAACACGGTTCAAAGCCAAGCAGAGCAGGACTCTGATCCCCAAGAAACCACCCAAGGAGCTGCAAGTAGAAACATGGCTCAGGTGATAAGAGAGAGAGAGCTTTGGAGGGGGAAAAAAAAAGGCTCAGGGACAACACCTAGGCCCTGAGTTCAAGTCCCAGGACTGGCATAAAAAATAAACTAGTAATTTTAACTGAACTGCAAATAAAAAGGTTCCATATAATTTCATTTTAGAATTTCACTTGATTTCCTACATTTCTGTAATCTTTTTCTACTTCTCACACAGTGATGTTTTAAAGAATGTACAATTACTCTCTCTGCTCTTTTCTAGCTCTTTCTCAGCTCTTTCCTGGCTCTCTCTCTTTCCCAGCTCCCTTCTCTCTCTGCTCTTTCCGCTCTTTTCTAGCTCTTTCTCAGCTCTTTCCTTCTCTTCTCTTTCCTGGTTCTCTCTTTCCCAGCTCTCCCAGCTCTCTTTCCCAGGCCTTTCCCCACCGCATGGAGGACCAAGATGGTCTGGTGCCAGCCAGAATGATGAATAAACCTACCCCTTACCTGAAAACAAAAAAAGAATGTACAATTATTATGAAGACTAATAACAATTCTATGATAGTAATTGCAGACTTCCAACATTTAATATTTTGGTAATATCAAAAAATTATTCTAAAGGAGAGTTCTTTTACCATTCTTATGTACCAAATAAAAAATATTGAGAAGATGGGAAGATTTTTTTTTTGTCAGTCCTAGGGCTTGAACTCTGGACCTGGGCGCTGTCCCTGAGCTCTTCAGCTCAAAGTGAACACTCTACCACTTGAGCCACAGCACCACTTCTGGTTTTCTGTAGGTTAACATGGACTTTTCCTGCTGGAGCAGGCTTTGAACTGTGATCCTCAGATCTCAGCCTTCTGAGTAGCTAGGATGACAGGCATGAGCCACTGGTACCTGGCTCAGGAAGAAATTTATCTCTATTACTTTTGGTTTCCTTCTCCATAAGACTTGAAAAGGAAAAATCTGATTTGTGGAGAAAATTCAGTACGTTCCAAGCTGTTTTCTCAATAATGTACCCTATTTAACAACAATGACAATCTACTTCATAAAGGTGAGTATTTTGACTAGAAAAGACATGAACAGGGCTTGGAAGGTGGCTCAGTGGTAGAATGCTTGCCTTGCGTGCATGAGGCCCTGGGTTCAATTCCTCTGCACCACATAAGCAGAAAAGGCCGGAAGTGGCACTGTGGCTCAAGTGGCAGAGCACTTGAGTTGAAGAGCTGAGGGACGCGCGTTCAAGCCAAGCCTCTTGGAGGCTGGGAAACGGGTAAAAATGAGGGAGGGGATAAGGGTTCAAAAAGTACTCATGACCTTACCTATGTAATTGTAACCTCTCTCTAATCACCTTTACAATAAAATGTTTTT